GCCCCGCCGCTGGGGCTCCGAGCGCCTGTCGCTGCGGGGTGGGCCCTGACTCGGCGCCTTCCTTCAGTCGGGCATGTCCCTCTACATGAGGGATATTCAAAAATAATAAGAAGATAGTCAGGGGACGATTTTTGGATTGTTTTTAATACTATTTTGGAGTTTTTTAAGGGTATGTTTTATTTTTCGCCCAAAATCCCCCTGTAGGGGGACATGCCCGACCTAACGCCATCCATGCGGGCAAGATTCGTATCCATATCCACTATGTCTTGGAGTTTCGGGCTCTTCCTTCCTTAGAAGCCAGAGGCGCAGTGGATATGGATACAAGTTTGCCCCCTGGAGAGTCCATTTCTATTCATGTCCACAGCGTCTCGGTCTTTTGTCGCCCCTTCCCAGAAAGTCCAAGACACAGTGGATACGTAGATAAATATTGCCCGCAACCCAGTCTTGCTTCTACTGTGGCACGCCAGTCTTTGAATGGAGGCAGTCTTGGGCTCCCAGATCCCAGTCTGCCTGAAGTGCCTTCCTGCTTCGAGAGTCGATTATTGTTTCGGTTGTTTTTTGCTGTCCCCTCGGCGGGCCCGAACCTTAGCTGCCTCGATACGCCCGTTTTGAAACGCAACACGTGCCGTTCTTAATGCGTCCGCGTCAATACGCTGCGTGCGGGCTCAGCATATTGACCCACGTTTTGGCGAGAGTGTCGCGACCGATCTGCGTTTTCCGTCTGCGTCTCGAGCTCCGGGTCAATTCGCTGCGTATTGCGTGTCGCGCATCGGGGCAGCTAAGTCCCGAACCCAATCTACGGTTCCACTTATGAGTAAGAAACCTCCCCCCGAAAAGCTGGCCCAGCGTTTCTTAACCAACTTGCCAGAAAGTTGGCTCAGTTTCTTAATGGACCCTAGAAATGAAAAGTGCACGTTCCTGGCTCCCAAAGCTGGCCCGGCGTTTCCTTAAGAGACTTCCGAAAAGCTGGCCCAGCTTTCTTGATCGAGCCCGACCTGTTCGATCCGCTTTCCCGCCCCATGCATCCGCGTGCTTCCTCCGACTGGTCGGTGTGTGCGTCGGCCACTCGCCGCGGCGGCGCGCACGCTCTCGGCACTCCTGTATGAGTACAGGCTCCGCGGCGGGCGCTCTCCGGCCACACCGCTCGAGGAACGGTAGGCCACTGGTTGCTGCTACAGTTGAGTCGGGCCTGTCCCTCTACATGGGGGAAGTTTCAGAGATGGTCAAGACATAGTCGGGACGATCTTCTGTTCGTATTTGGGCATCTTTGGACCCTTTTTGGGGTCTGTTTCATCCTCCGTCCAGAATCCGCCTGTCGGGGGAAACGTTACCAGCCTGGAACATATCCCTATCCCTATGCTGGGCACCTCCTCATCACGATGCCAATCTTAGGGATTCCCTTATTTTTTGAGGGCGAATCCCTAAGATTGTCATCGCCTTTTGGTGTGTCAATCTTAGGGATAGGGATACGTTCGAGGCTGGTAAACACGCCCGACCCAGGGCTGCATGCTCGGGGCGGGCGTGCGGCTCCGGCAGAGAGGCACGTCGTGCTGGCACGCCCCTGCGCGCCCCGCTGGCCTCTGGCGACCCGCTTCTGCCCGATCCGTGGCGTCTCTCCTGCAGACCTCCGCGGCGTCGTGCCGGCACGAGGCCTCCGCCTCTGGAGTCGACTAGGCGTAAGAGTGACCTTTCGCCGGAGTGACCTTTGCTGCGGGCACAGATGGGTGTCCAAATGGCCGGAAACGAGGCAGTGGCAGCTGCTTGCGCGCCCAGGTTGGGTCCCCCCGCGACCCCCAAAAAGTCGCGCACCAAAGGTCACTCTTACCCAGGGTCACTCCTGCGTGTAGCCGATGGAGGCCCCTGCCGAGGCCCGCGACCCCGCCGCAGGCCGCCTCGGGAGGGGAGGGCGCGACGGGCGTCACGGCCCCCGCTCCCCCCTCCCCCCTTTTTTTCCTCCCCATGGCGTAGCGCTCCTCCCCCCCAGGGCGCTCCGGGATCCCCCCGCTCCTCCGCCCCCCCCTATGGCGTAACGCTCCGCCCCCCCCCCCAGTGTGCTCCGGGATCCCTCCGGGGTCCAGGCCCGTACGGGTCCGCGCCTGGAGCAGAGCACATCTTTCAGGAGGTCTGGTGATCGTTTTCTTATTTGTTGATGTGCCGAGCGGCGCGGGCCTTCGCACCCCGCGCTCCCCCCCCTCCCGTGGAGTAGCTCTTGGCTGTTTCTGGTGTCTGTTTCGAGCAGGCGGAGTCTCTCAAATAGGACGCACTGTTACAGACAGTCGCGTTAAGCAGAGGTCCGGAGCCAGACCCCCGCTCCCTTCCCCCCCCTCTGCGCCCAACGTCGAAACGCCGAATAGGGAAACGATTACCTGGGTCTTCCGCAGTTCTGGCCTCCAGGGGACGTCTTCGGGCCCCGCGGCGCTCAGGAGTGGATCCGGGGCGAAAGACTGCCCCCCAGGAGAAGGGCCCAGACATCTGGACCTGCGGGTAACAGAAGCAAAACAATCCATCGGAAGCCTGGGCGACGGAAACGGGCCAGACCTTTTTGAATGTTGTTGTTGTTGTTGTTGCTGTTGTTGTTGTTGCTGTTGTTGTTGCTGCTGCTGTTGTTGTGATGGTGGTGGTGGTTGTGGTGGTTGCTGATGTTGCGGTTGTTGTTACTGTTATTGTTATTGTTGTTGTTGAACATTATTAATTCGAAAGAATAATTATTGTTGGGACCCCTGGTGCACGGCCCCCCTGCGCCGCCTAGGCCGCAGCTACATTTTCATCATTTTCGTGAGGAAGCCTCAGGTAATTCGATGTGATCAAGATCCGGTTGTTTTGTTCCCCCCCGCTTTCCCTTGCAAAAAACACTATAAAATGACATTTCTTGTTCTAATATAATCAAATTTCAAGAATCCCTTGCAAAAAATAAGGTAAAGTGGACATTCGCGCGCGCAAGACGAAATCCTTCCAAAACCTTAGTGTTCGGAGCGATTTTAACATAAAAACATCAAAAAACCAATGGTTTTTCAACAAAAAAATGTCAAAATCTCATCCCGCGCGCTCTTGCGGATTCGTAGGAAACCCAACACTTTTTAAACATTTCTGTCAAACGGGCTTTTGCGAGCAACTTTTTCGAACTTCTGCGAACAACGGTTGCGCACCTGCCAGGGCCATCATCCCTGTCAAATAATACCATGCGGGACACATTCGTTTTTTCTTCGCGCGCGCACGCCGTCGTCGTCGGCCGCGGGGCCCTGAATAGTAGCCACGGTCGTCCGCATGCCACGAAGTGAAGTGTCCGAACGTCATAGGGCGGGAAGCTGGGTGTGGGTGGTGGCGAAGAGTCGTTTGGAAATTTGGTAGAGCTTGAACCGGCCCCCCCACAAAGTGGGGGTATTGCCCGCCTCCTATGAAAACCCTGGCACTGGTGAGAACGGAGTGTCCCCAGTCTTAAATGATTGTTGTTGTTGTTGTTGTTGTTGTTGTTGTTGTTGTTGTTGTTGTTGCTGCTGTTGTTGTTGTTGCTGCTGCTGCTCTTAAGGTTGTTGTTGCTGGTATTGTTGTTGTTGTTGCTGTTGCTGTTGCTGCTGCTGTTGTTGTTGATGCTGATGTTGTTGTTGCTGCTGTTGTAGTTGTTGTTGTTGATGTTGTCGTTTCTGATGATGATGTTGTTGTTGCTGTTGTTGTTGCTGCTGTTGTTGTTGTGGTTGTGGTTGTGGTTTTGGTTGTGGTTGTGGTTGTGGTTGTGGTTGTGGTTGTCGTTGTGGTTGTTGTTGTTGTTGTTGTGGTGGTGGTGGTGGTGGTGGTGGTGGTGGTGGTTGTTGTTGTTGTTGTTGTTGTTGTTGTTGAATGTTTAATTACTAAACAATTGTTATTGTTGGACACCTTAAGGACGCTCTGGCGCTCTCGCCGAGGCGCGGGCTACACTTTCATTGAAAATGAGGCTCACGCTCGAGCGGTTTGGGGGACCGCCCAAACCGGCCCCCCAACAACAACAACGCTCCCGTTCGAGACTTCCTCCTTTTTTGCTCAGGGCTGGCGTTCTTGCTCGCCGCCGGAAGCCGCCGTCCTAACAAAACCAGCGCTCCCGCTCGAGACTTCCTCCCTTTTATGCTCAAGGCGGTGCTCCTCCTCGCCGCCGAAAACCGTCGCCCCGACAAAACCAGCGCTCCCGCCCGAGACTTCCTCCCGTTTTACGCTGGACTGGCGCCCTACTCTCTTTTGAATTGGCGCCGCTCCCAGCAAGAACAACGCTTCCGCTCGAGGCTTCTCATCTTTTTCCTGAAGACGGTGCTGTTCCTCGCCGCCGACAACCCCCGTACCGACAAAACCACGGCTCCCGCTCGATGCTTCCTCCCTTCTTACTCAAGGCAGTGTTTCTCCTCGCCGCTGAAAGCCGCCGCCCCCACAAAACCAGCGCTCCCGCCCGAGACTTCCTTCTATTTTACGCTGGACTGGCGCCCTACTCTCTTTTGAATTGGCGCCGCTCCCAGCAAGAACAACGCTCCCGCTCCAGGCTTCTCCCCTTTTTCCTGAAGACGGTGCTGTTCCTCGCCGCCGACACCCCCCGTCCCGACAAAACAACGGCTCCCGCTCGATGCTTCCTCCTTTCTTACTCAAGGCGGTGTTCCTCCTCGCCGCCGAAAGCCGCCGTCCCAACAAAACCAGCGCTCCCGCCCGAGACTTCGTTTTGTTTTACGCTGGACTAGCGCCCTACTCTCTTCAGCATTGGCGCCGTTCCCAACAACAACAGCAGCCCTGCTCGAGACTTCCTCCCTATCTATTCAGGGCCAGGTCCTTGCCTCACCGCCGACAGCCCCCATCCCCACCAAGGCAATCCTGTCGTTCGATATTTCCTTGTGCTTTACCCTTCGCTGGGGTTCCACTGGCGGTCTCGTATCGGTGCAGCAAGGCGCGGGCATGTGTTTTCGAGGCGGGATATGTTGACATTCCTCGGGGGAGGTGTTTGCAAGACCCCATTGGGTGGGAGGTCTGGGAATGGGAATGACGGACCC